TATACAGCAAGGGCACCAATGGCTGTTGTAACTGACATACTTTGTACATCACAGTGAATAAAATCGATGACAAAGTAATTTTGCCAATATAATAATAATAATAATAATAATAATAATAATAATAATAATACAGATAATAAATAAGACAAAAAAATGTGTATAGCCTTTTAGTATGTGGGACGCCCGAATTTTTAAGTATTTAGTTTTCACCTGGCTTTCTCCAGATATTTACAATTTTATAGCTCTAATTATCGTGCTTATTCATTATTTTGATGCGATATTTATCAAACTCAAATGTCTAAACATGCATTGTTACACATGACGTGAACCGAACATAGGGGCCTAGCCTATGCAGTGTTTCAAGACGCAGTAATGTTTATATCCGGACGGTTCAGAGTGAGATGTCATCACCATCTAGAACTGTCAGAAAGTGATCGTCTGCCTCGAGATCCCGCGGTTGCCCTCCGGGAAAACGTTATCCCCTTCTAGTTCTGGTATCAGCAGTGGTCTTATCCATGGGTCATTACGTGATCGGCTCCGGCCATCCGACTGACCAGAGTCGACCACTTGTAGCTTTCATTTCGTTTGTATGCGGCTCATTTCCTGGGAAAGAGAGCGCCGGGGAAATGGTTTGCGATCTATGTTAGATAAGATACAATGATATGTGAAGAACGTATCGGAAAGTTGAAGATTAAGTAACAGGGATTTCTGGCGAGTCATAAAACTGCCCAGAATTTGGCTGAACAAACAGATGCAGGAAATTTCTGACGGAGAGATTATGGGATTTGATTTGACGTTTATGTTGTACTGAACTTTTTAATAAGGACGAGAAAAATGAAATAATAATCAGTCATCAGATTTTCAAAAACTCATCTTTGCTTTTACCTTTAAAATATTAAAAACAATAATCTTTTTGAATTGTTGGTAAATATATCCATAACTAATTTTTTTCATGGAAAGATGTTTTTATCGCAAGTTGACTCAATTACTCTTGTAGGCCTACAAGACAAATAATAAACAATTCACGGAGTCATAGAGAGTGAAAGGCAGTATTTGAGGCATCCCATTTCGTTTTGAATATCCTGTTGCATAAAACCAGTACTTTCAGAGATCAAAATGGCCAGCTTTCAAAAAGCTAAGATAAATAGATAGGACACAAGCTAGGAGACACGATCAAGATGGCGACGCAATCGTCCCGGTGTCGTAATCTTGTTCCACTCCACATAGAAGACGTCGACGCCGACGTCACGTAGCGCGGGCGCCATGTCGTTGTTGCCAACTGGAAACTCCAGTAGCCATCAGGACTCATCGCAGCACGCCTGTCTCCGTAGGTTTGCCAAGGAGACAGCTGGTCATTTCTGACCAGGGTCTGTCGGTGCAAGCAGTGTGTCCGAGTACCAAAATTGTCTTTTTTTTTAACCCTCCACCAAGGTTGATTATGTCTACCAGATTAATAATGTGCACTTTTCTCCAACGCGTGGAGAAATGTGAAATGAATTAACCAGATACATATCTGTGAATATATAGTGAAAAAATCAACCTGTGGCTCTGGTAGAGGGTTTCTTCTTTTTATGTTTAACACCAACTCACAGATATACTGTCTATTACATATCCATATAATTAATCAATACATAATTAATATATAGACCTAATATTTTTTTATAATTTATGTGCGGGGGGGGGGGGGAGAGAGAGAGAGAATTGGATGATGAATAATGCTTAATAAATTATGCAGGAACCTTGTTGATATTTTTCCAGCTTCAAGGTATCTCTTTTATCACTCAAAAATAAAACGACATACTTCAACACGTGCAAACAAAGTTACGAAACCTTATGGAAAAATTTAAAAAAAAAAAAAAACACGTGAAAAAAAATCTCAAAATTGAAGAGCCTCGATAAAACGGCGGTAAGTAGTTTTATTCTTGTTTAAGAAGGACGCGTAAATAAAATTTTTTCCTCATTTTTATAAACTGCACATTCGATCACAAGTCTCTAAAAACATTAGATCCATAAAACAATGCATATTTTTTTCTTTTAACACATTTTCATTTCATAAAGCTATATCTTGTTTCTAACTTTCCGATATTTTACGATATATACGTTAAAGGAAATATATTAAGCTATAAAGCTCCTGTTCGCACATGGCAGGTTTAATTTCAATTTTTAAACTTTTGTTGGTCAACAAATGTACAGGAAAATGGAGAATTAAAGAAAAAACTTATTTCAATAATTTGGCAACAAATTAAATTACCCCTCCCCTTCCCGTTACTTGCAGTATACTCTCTCATGGGGTGGTGGTCCATCTTAAAACGGCCTGTTCCAATAGTATACATGTACTTGCATGTTTAATTATTGAACTTTGAGATCGCGTTAGAAGAATGGGCTCTTAGTTTGTGTATTTTTGTTTACCGTACAGAAATAACCTTGCTACACGTGCTTGGTAAGTACCCCGCGATGAACGATAAAAGGGCGATTATGACTTTACGCTCTGCTTTCTGCTTCAGTCTGTTATTTTAACACCCAAGGGGTATCTTGGATTTGGGAACAATCTTTTTCTTCATCCAGTTGTTATCTATGTAGATTTCGCGCGCACGTGTTCGGCATCCTCGTAAACAAAGTCCAGTAATCCGTTTATGCTAGTCGGCAGTGCTTTCATCATAAGTTATTTGCCGCTAAGAAGTTGTCTTTGATTGTAATACTTCAACATTTTGGGTCAAGCTACTCTGTGTTTGTATTCCTGGGACAAAAAATCGTGAACGGAAATAATACAAAGTTAGCAACATCTTGAATTCTTTTGGTTCGAGTTTTTTTAAATATTACTTTAGAACTAGCAGAAATTGTTCGAAACAACTGTCTACTGTTGTAATGGATGTACAAATCAGATTGAGTTACATATTTCACAAACATTAAACATATGTGGCACACGTCATTTTAAATTCTGACATTTGGAAATAACTATTACTTCTTGGTTTGATAGTGCACGCTCACAAAATTTGCTTTTAATGTACAAGTTCAATATTCCTTCTGTTAGCAAACTATCCCGACGTTCTTTCCAACAGTTAACAAAGTATCGTATGTATAGCATTAACTTGCCGTCCCTTTTTTATTATCATGCCTTTATTTCAGAGTTGAAATTACTTTCTTTTAAAGCTTTATATATTAACATCCGCCTTTCCAGCATCTGATAGTTTCTTGAGTAGTACCATGTGGTTTCTTTGTCTCCATCATGAAGAGATATTTAGAGTTCAGTTACAAAGTTTGTATTTTTTTAAACCATCCTTACTCCCGCCCAGCAGTTGTCAAAACTTTTTGAATAAAAAAAAAAATAAAAAACATTATTATCAGTTATGGAAACTTTTTACCACTGCAGTACTTCTTGGACTCATGGACCAAAAGGTGGATTAAGCTTAATATAGATATCAGAATATTAATAATTATACCTAAAAACTGATAATACTGTGACAAGCCTTATTCGCATTTTTATGCAATCTCATAAATGAAATAACCCTTGCTAATTTTTTGACAAGTATTTCACCAAAGACATAACTCGCATATCTGTGGCGGAGCGATGGCCTCGTAAGTTAAGTTTATTAAATGCTTTAGCCAGGGTAAAGCTATCTGCCGAATATTTCTAGGTTAAAGACAGTTGTTCGCTGTCAGAGGACCTAGCTTGAGTGGAGCTGCCAGTGCTCGTAAATAAACTCTAACTCGTAGTAAACAAACAGGAAGTGGCTGTTCGGTTAAGATGGCTGACTGTGAAAACATTGTATCGGTATTACTAATATCAGCTTCGTGTTTTCTCAGTTAATTACAGAGGCGCGCATCTGTATTAGTTACAAGACTGCCTGAGTACAGTATGACTGTGATTGGTGAAAAAATGTTGAAAACAAAACTCATTTAAGTATTGTAACTGAAAGAGAGAGAGAGAGAGAGAGAGAGAGAGAGAGAGAGCTCGTTGTAGCATAAAAAATAACAATTAGCAGTGCCTTATGAAGCGTTAATTACAAGATGTGTAAAAGTTTAGAGGTCGTTTTTGAGGTCAAAATAAATCCACCACGGTTATTGAACAACGTGTAAGAAGGTTTTACAGAACACTTGGTGGATCAAGAGTCTCAATTTGCGGCACTTGAAGAAAGCCCTATCATTTTTCATCTCCAAAGTCAATAAAACGTTTTCCTTTACTGTTACCTTTAGTTTCTTTTGAAAAACTGGGAAAATATCCAATTTTTCACACACACACACACACACACAAAAAACCATGAATGTAAATACGTGGAATTTCTGTTTTTATCCAGGCATTTGCTACCTATATTGCAGCTTGTTTGTGAAGTTTGTACACATATAATGGTCTTCTCTTGAAGACGTGGATTGTACACATCTTAATGATGTACTCACTAGATTCTATCTACATACTGCAACAATAACACAACGACTTTTTCATATTATCAGAAAATAAAATACTCTGTTTCTCGAATTAATTAGCATCCATAGGTAGTGACTGCATACGGCAGCAATACAATTCTCTTTACCAGATGAGTACGCAAGGAAACAAACACGCTCAAATTCTGCCAGGGAACTAAAAAATATAAAACAGGAAGACGGTCGACCTTCCATTCCGTTAAACCACACGATGAAGTAGAACTTCTTTTCTTTTAAGATAAAATCAGGAGACGTTTGAAACTGCATGAAAAAAGGCTGATAAGAAAATCCGAAAACACTTTCCCTATAAAATGTTGCTTTGCGACCTTGATGGGGTTTAGTAATCTTCGGGCACCCGCTGAGATACCAAAGTTTGCAAGTTTGATGTACCTAGCACTAGGGAATAATCGGTCTTGACCGTGTAAATGTGCTGAAAATTGTAACAAATTATCCTCACGCCGAGAACTGTAACAGTGTAAAGTACCACAACCACCATAGAGATCAACCGGTCCTAATCTAATTATCTAATCAAGTGTGATTAATAAATTAAATTAAGTAATCAAAACCATGGCTTCACTTACCTTCCCCATTTGAGCGCTCGGCATCTTCATTCAGTGAGGCCCCACAACTCGGTGGAGTTCGTAGCTGTTGGTGGGGTTGCTGTTGTTGTTGCTGTTGCTGCTGCTGTTGCTGCTGTTGTTGTGCCTGTTGCTGCTGTTGTAAAGTATTGTCAGGGGGCGTACTCGCATACATGGCACAATCTTCCCTTGGCAACTCTTCCAAGTCAAGGAATCGACTCACAGAAAAACTGTTCTTGTTAAATTGGGTGGCGAAATTTTGTGCCTTGTCGAATTCGGAGCCAAATTGGTGGTGGTGATGGTCGTTCGGCGCGGCAAGCGCGTATCCACTCATGGTCTATAGTCTAATACACGTAGAACCCTTTCCTGTGTATAAACCTTGAGCAATAACTAAAGCCGTCGGATGTTGGATGATCTGTGAGGTTCTCTCTGACGGTAAACTTCCCCTTACTTCAGTTTCAGAGTTGCTATGATGACTGACTGCGTTCTACTCCTTTGCTTTCCTAGTTTAGTGCGTGAGCTGAACTGCAATGCGCCGCCTGTGGCGTTGGTTGCCGCTCCGTCCAACAAGGCCCCAACGATTTATCACTCATCCAAAAAGGATGTCGTCTTTCCTCTACAGACCGCTGGAAGAACTGCTTTAGTCTGCGCCGACTTGTTGCGCCTCGTGTGTAATCTGGGCGCCCCTAGGGAGTATGGGACGGTAATTAAACTGGGGAAAGTTGATCCCTCTTCGCCCTAAAGTGCTCGCTAAGCCTCGGCTTTAGCACGTGCGTAGAACAGCATAAGTACAGTGTTCCATTCATAGGCAAGAGGCGTTGCTTTTTATCTGATTTTTACGACGACTGTTTTACTCCTCAAGTCCACGATTTAGTGTCTTTGAAACTTGGGCCAGGCCTTTGATGTGATCTTGCTGGTGAAATAAGCATGAAAGCTATGTGACGTCACTTCCAATGAAAAATTACCGCATCGTGGTTTATTGTTTTTCTAACGAAGGTAATCTGAAACTGCTTGTATACAGAGCAGGCCAACATTTTGGTAGCGGGGTTGATTTATTACCGGTATATTCGTGTAATTTGTGTTGCTGTTCAAGAGATATGGGGGAAACATGTATCGTAACGTAAACGGTTGTTTTTCGGGAGCTTCGATTAATCCGATTAAACGGATTTAGCCGATTAGCTTATAATTGTAGGGCACGCTCACTTTGATGTGCAATCAATCATAATATTTTATCAGCCTGCTCTCTCTCTCTCTCTCTCTCTCTTCACTGGATGATACAATTACTTTAACTATTTCTTCTATTTATTTTAACAAGGAATAACATTTATTCAACATAAACTATAAACCATACTTAAAAGGAATTTGCAAAAAGTGAAGCGCTCTCACATTTGCTCTCTAATGTCTTTTTTTACCGCTCCATTATTGTTTTCCAACAAAATCTGCATCTCTTGCACACAAATGATTGGTTATTTTATGTAATGTTTCGAGAAAAAAAGCATCCATACTCTTTCATTGTTCCCGTTATTTTCATTGCATGTTCGGAAAAAATGGACGAGCTTTGCGAGACGCTACTAGCCCTCAGAGCCGAAGTTAAAAAACTACCCGTCATGCCGACGTCTTGCTCTTCATGGCACATTCATCAGTGCCAGAGGTGGGGGTGCTATGGAAATCCGGGGATTAACGAGAGGGGCGGGGCCTCTGTCAGTCCAAGGGGTGTGGCCTCTGTCATGACTGGGATCGAAATGTGATTGGTCACTACTTGTCATTTTTCATTTTCATTTGAAATAGGCCTTGGGATCCTTTTCGAAAATATATGATGTAGATGGTTTTATTTGCTTTGGGATGTATTTTTTCAAAAATGCACACAAAAGATGGCAGAGTTTTCGATATTATTTCATTCATTCATTCAAGCATTTTCCTGTCTATCTATCTATCTATCTATCTATCTATCTATCTATCTGTTTATTCATTGATTTATTTTTTTGGAACACATTGCACAGATTGTCCATTATGCGTGGACATTGGTGCTATCAGCCAATCAAGATAACCAGTCATTATTAGGTAAGTGGGAAGTTTGAAATGCCATTAATGTGTATTTTCAGTTAGTTTAATCCAAATGCTCAGGTTGATTTTTGTTTGTGTCATTTGCATTGTAGTTGTCATCAAATATAGAACAAGAAATAAAAGAATAATCATGTTTTGCAACGTACTTTGATTTGTTTTATGACTTTCCATCTCATGCTGTGTGAAATACATCGAATGACTGTTCGATATATGTCTGCATATTTTTACATAAAAACTGTTTTCTTGATTTACTGCCAACAAGAAATTTCGTGTTTCTTTATAATTATTTGCTATAAACAATTATTTTTACGTCTTTTAAGACATTTGGATCTAAGGGCAAAAAAGTAAAGTTTTTTCTTCCGGTTGCGTTTTTTCGTGGAACTCTTGTTTCAAATAAACACTTCTAAAATATACACAAAAAACATACATAAAGCAGGAATAAGTAGAAGAGATAAAGTGAAGAATTAATACTTATGTACATAGAAGCCTAAGTGATAACGCCTCTTTATGCATATTTTCGGGCCAGCACTATTTATAGGCGCTTCACTCGTGTGTTTGTTTTTGCAATTAGTCTTTGTTCGTGACCCGTGAGGCCATTCCATTTGAACTCGAGCTTGCGGCAGCTATTGAAGTTATGGATGTTGTTTCGTTTTTTACTCAAGTTCAGGATTTGGTTCATTACCTTTCCTGCTACCAGCGCCTGGACTCTGTTGAAATATATTTCGAAGAATTTCAACAGAGGGCCTTTTCGAACGATTTTAGTTACGGCCTGTTTTTCCTGTATTATATGGCGCATCCCCTCCTCTGCCTCTTCGTTTAAACCGCATAAAATAAACTCGTCAACAGGAAAATGGGATAAGTAAAACTTATTTGTTAAAATCATGTGGATGTAAAGTATGTTCTCTTTCCGTTTTCCTTTACATCACTACATCTGTAAAACCGCGACTGGTATCTTCTATTCACCCCGTACACTAGTTTCGCCTTGAGAAATGTAAGCATAAACTAGTTCATTGAAAATAGAAACATTTCTACGATTTAATTGTTGGTACATATCGTCAGTTTGAAAAAATAAATTGATTAATATATTAATAAATTCATAGATTAATAAATAGATTAATTGCATAGACAGACGGATAAGTACATGTATAGGAGCTTCAAATTAAAAATTATTTCATGCCAGCTGGACACACGTAAAAATCTAAGACTTACATATAAAACGAAAGACAAAAACAACAAGAACACTGGTGTCTTAGTGAAACAAGTGAAGGTTAAAAACAGGAAGACTGATCTAGAGAAGAAAAACGACCGGGGAAATAAGACTAACAATAAAAAGAATTACCCTCCGTGGTCGTTTCAGTTTCTGTTTAAGTGTAGCATTTGAAATATCGAATGTGTCGCTTCTAGTGAAGTTATTTTGTTTTTTTTAGAAAAGTAAACAGAAATACAAATATAAACAAACACCTCATTGTTTTTGAAAATAACAAATATGCATTTTATGCACAAAACGTTTTGTCGGAAATGCCCTAAAAACATGTTTATTTTGAGGTAGATTTTAAATAGTTGACTAATAACCTATTGTGGAATGTGGACATCCAAACATCGTTCGTGACCCCACTTGTAACAATGTGACCCAAAAATGACTTTGTTTTGGATTTCTCTTAACGGATATCAGAATAAGAAATAAAAAGAATCAAAAATGACATACAAAATGAAATATGCTTCAGTGTTGGGCATTTTTCTATATAGATGCCAAAGCACAGTGAGCCTCTTTTTGCTGAAACATAAAAAAGAGACAGACCGCAGCACATGACGTATGACACTGAGCGTTGGACGCACTAATTAAAGTTACGGTCTGGGGTTTGAGACCTGTGCAGCACATGGAGCCGACGCCAACGAGTCGGACGCAGACGACAGCGTCTGAAGGTTTTCGACCAATCGTAGCTGAGAACAGCGGAACTGGGTTACCGAAGGCGAAAATCAAGAAAAGCGTATTGAGTGCTTTTTAATTTTTCTTTTATATCCCCCGAATATGCGATTTGAATAGAATCAGGCTCCATATGTAATGCATAGCTAATATTCATCCTTTTTGAAGCACAATCTAAACTATTTTTTTTTTTTTTTTGAATTCTTATATTTCTATCTTAGCTTAGCTTCCTTCATTATTTATATTAAAACTACATTATTTGATTTACGGAAATCAACTCCTTTTCAAAATAATAGAATAATTCAAAAGGAAAATATTCATACATAGAGTAATAAAACAGAATGTTGCCGTTTCGTTATAGAATTATCAAGTGTTTTGGGGTTTTTTTCTTTTCTTTCTTTTTTTTTCTACACTATTTTTGAACATACATTAAATAAGTTTAATCAAATAAAAGTCAACGTAAATAAAATCTTACCACCTGAGGCCTCAAACTGATCAAAGAGCTCACGTGACGTTCTTTAGCCGTCTATCAGACTGGGGCAGGGGAATTCGATCTTAAGTTGAAAGAGTTGAGTTTAAACCCCGTGTCCTTCTCCCTTCCGTGCACACGGCAATAGGATTACCAGTAGCACGAGCCTCAGTTATTGACAGGAGAGCGTGTGCTCCTTGGCCTGCCAAGTTTGATCAGGCGCCCTTACTTTTAAAACCTTCTGAAGTTTGACTCGCCCTCTACATTTTCACCCTGAGTATGATCGCTAGACACTTTGTTAGCCTGTTTTATTTTTTTAGTCAATCAAGGACAGCGCCTTGTGGAATTTTAACTTCTACCTTCAAAAAGTTAAATTATTTGTACGATCAAAATTTATAATTTCTCAGGCCTATAATAAAGTGACATTCGGGCATTATATTGGCGAAAAAAAAATTGGCGTTAAAATATGTTACAGAGCTGACTAATGAGAATTATTTCCAAAGGAGACCAAGCATGTATTTCTGAAATATCGTTTTTATTGTTTGAGTAATAAAACGGTATATATGTTCTAAAACAGCCATTTGAGTCTCCAATTGGACTCGAGACATAAGGTACAAGCAAGCCCGTAGGGAAAGAGTTATGGTACATTCAGGATCTTAAATATTCATCCCTACTTATAGAATCGGTGATCGATTAATTTTCTTGAATGGACAGGTTTTATTCTTATATCACCTGATTATCGAGGTTTGTGGTGTTGGTCGCATCATTGCAAAAATTATATTTCGGAGGTATATGTTCATAAATCAACTAATATATAAATAAATAAATGGCTAGATTAAGAAACAGACGAGCAATTGATTCCGTAAACAAATCAATAAATAGAAAAAAAAACAGATCAAAAGATAATGCAAAAGTAGATTGATGACTTACAAAATAAATCTCCCAGGACAATTTTCTTATTGCTTGGTGAAAACTAGCAAAATTAGGCCAAAAATCGAACCGAAAACAACTTTCTCCATTTATTTCAACTGTACATTTTGCTGTTCCTGTGAAGGTATATTTCGTGCAATTTCTTTGGATATTTAGGTTTTTCTTAATTAGAATAGAACCTAAACCAGAAATGAATAGCTAAATGGGGGATGTATATTAAAAATTAAAAAGGAAAGGCTTTAGTTCTGTTCGATGACAACTTCATAGATCAGAACAGTCAAGGTACATTTCTCTGTCTCAGTCTCTCTCTCTAACAGCACATTCCTCTGTCTCAACCGCCTGTCACACCTACCACAATCATCAAAACAGCTGCTTCTCAGAGTTTGCAGGAAGCCGCAATGCAACAGATGAGAGGGCTTCCCGACGGAAGAGTGCGTCTGCTCCAACGGATGAAAGGTGAAAATTTTTATTTTAATATCAAAATATTCGTGAGATATATGTAAACTTATATTCATTCATATCACACAGTATTATCGTGCACCTTTAATGTCAAGAATGTTATACATGTACAGCAGTTTGGTCATAAAAATCTTTATTTATATAAAATTAATATTTATTCTAAAATTGCATAAAAATGTTAAAATCTATAACACAATTGCAGCAAGATATAGAAAGGCGCATAAAAATGGTTATTTACAGTATACTAAAATGAATTTATAGACTACTGAACATACAGTGGAATACTAGAAATTAAAAATAGAAATTTCACAGATATTTTAAAGGCAGTGTGGGATAAAGAGAGTATTTACATCTGTATATATTGTTTCCTGAAAAGATAATATTTTAAAAGCCATATCACATTTTTAATCACATTCACAATTATTCTGAATAAAAAAATCGTTGCACCTTACGATAAGTTTTTTCTGCAATAATTACGGTTTTCCTTTTTGAATAGTGAGTGGATGAAACTTGACAACAGCTACATGCATGTTGTAGAGCAATAGATCCCTTTTAACATCAAACGGTATACTTAAACGATACAGTCTATACTGGTACACTTGAGAGATTGACAACTAAATAGTTAAGCTAATATTACGTAAGAGAGTCGCCTTCCACAGAGCCAATGCATAAACTTAAGCTCTTGTTGCATGGCTTGGAGAACAATAATTTTTCTCGCTCAATTCGAAGTTGATGGTTTGACAATATTTGATAGACAACATCAAATTGACACATAAGTGTTCATGCGCTTGAAATATTGCAGCTTTTTCTTTTGTCGCCAATTCTGGAATAGACCAAAATTTCATTCCCAAGCGGTCGAAAGTCCAGTTTAACTATTTTATATACAAATGTCTTTCAGAACGTTGGCCTACGTCCCTAAAACACAACCCAAAACATCGCCTCTCATTGTAGGGTAGTTATGAAATGTCTGTGGGTTAATGCGGACGTACCGTGCGAATATGACGGGCATCATCTTGTTCAGACCCTGCAACGTATTCTGTTTCAGAGTATTGGTATCTGTGTTGCCCTGAAACACCTGGAACGAAAAAATTACCATTGCGTGAGAAAGTCGAAACTAATCACCTAGCCAGCGGCTATAACCTGTTATAGGTAGCCTAGCGTTTTATGACAGTTAAGCTATTTATTTATGCTCATTTACAGTCAAGCTTTTTATCTTTGTCGGTAATATACAGTAAACGCTATTGGTTATCAATAAGGCAAACACTGACATTGATACAGCAGGTGATAAATTAAGGCAGTCGTTAGTCGGACAAAAGGATTCTTTATCTTTACGAAAAGGGCCGCTGCCACACTATGAATATGATTTGAAACACCAAGATACAGGACAATTGGCTTTTTATTCGCTCATTCAATAATAATAATAACATTACCACGTCACTGCCACATTCAGTTTGGTAGGTTGTCCATGTCACCGCATCGCTGCTGAAGTGCAGTTTATAAGAGGTCACCCACTGGTAGTGGTTGTGGCCGTCCAAAGCTCTTCCTTTGGTAACAACAGCTGTGATCACATGCTTTGAACCCAGATCGAACTGAAGCCATTGATTGGTGTTAATACTTCCACCATCCACGGCCCATCCACCAAGGGTTCCAGAAGACGCATCGTTAGTGAGGCGGGAATGTTGGGGCGTGAAACCGAACATGGCGAAGGAACTACTGGCAGTGATATGCGAGTCTGGGATTGGGTTGTTTCCGCTCACAAGTAGATTTTGACATTGCTGGATATCTGGAACTGTAGTGTTTACCATATTTATTGCATTTTTCCAAGTAAGGACAATCCGCTTGTAATTTTGTATGACGTTACTGTTCAATACCCGTAATAAAATATTGTTTCTATATCATCCTTACATTCTGACATACGTTTTTGAGATAATGATAAATGAATGATGACGATAAATATCTGTTTCAAAGATCATCTTGTGTTCCGAAATATTAAGAAATTCTATGAAATCATGACGCGGGTGGTAGTTCCACTTTTTCCAAGGAGAAAAACACATGTACTTACCGCTGACGCTATTTTTCTGTGACTGAAAAAAGGACAAATGAAGAAAAATAATTTACATCGAAGAAGTGTATTTAGGCTAATACCTCTCAAAGTCACCTACAATTATAATAAACATTTTACTGGTTACCTACTATGATATAATAGAAGATTGATGGTTTTAATGAAGCGTCGTATGTCGGATGATAGATTACCAATTTTTTCAAAACTAGCTGTTTTAAATACTGTTTGATGATATTACCTCGAGTAGAGAGTTAGAAAAAAAAACAATTACCTTCAAACAAATGTATGCACATTACCTTGAAAATTAATAGCACTTCGAAATAATTTCAAGGTGTGATATTGAGCTCAAGATGAAAAGTAAACAAAAGAATACAAAGAGCACTCACCACCCACAAGTTCCAGGAAGTCCCAGCTGCCAGCTGACGTCTCGTCATTGCCTCGGTATACGAGGTAATCGTGGCCACACAAAGGATAGAGCCAGACATGTCGTTGTGAACGCTGTATCCTGCACAACCTGGTGTGCGCAAGCACAGCATCGGACACTGGTTGGATGAGCCGACGTTGTCAACAACGGAAGAGTTGTCCTGCGTGATTCTACACTGCGAGACACGCTTGAACTGAACGAGATCGCTGCTCCCGACGGCATGCGGAGCGATTGCTGATTGCATAGAGAATTATTTAAAGTTTATCAATAAATATTACTATTTGAAATCATCGAATAAATTCAAATTGAAAAATTAATTTTTGAGTCGCCATCATTTGAAATCATTACAACCATATAATTTCTATTTTGATGAAACATGTTTTATAAAAACAATTGCTTTTCAGCCCTCTAAATTTTTCTTTAATCTGGCCTTATCTTGTACAAATAAAATAAACTAACGACTGGCATTCTTACTAGTTCATTCCTTCCCTTAAAAAGAAAATTGATAGCTGTTTAGAAGATGAAATGTACGAATACTTACTTATAGATAATATTAAAATTGCCAGGCTTGTTTGAAACATCGTTTTAACCACACCAAATGCGGCTTTTTGAAACCAACGCTCGAGTACCTTGTCGTTAAGTGGGTTTAAAAAGCGATTTAGGTCTGCTAAGTAATGTTAAGTTGCATCAACATTTCCTATCAGAATAAAGTACTGGTAATTTGAGAATACTAATACTAATAACATTTATGTGAACATGACAGATATGTGAAGTAAATGATGTAGAAATCAATGGCAACAAAATAAAATATTGATCTAACGTAAAATGAAGCTCATGACTGTAATGCCAAACTATTATCTCAATAGCAAGCACTCAATTAAAGAAATGCCCCAGCCCAATGGGTAGCATTTTTTTCTTTCTATTATTATTATTGTGTGGGGCTGGTGCTATGTTAGGGCTCGTTCCCGATTAAACTACCGGTCTACGTGGATCGATCCAACTCTTCGGGGAGTCTCGCTGAATACAATCAGAATAACATATTAACACGCCTTCAGATGCTGGAAGCGGCAGAGGTATGACGAAAGTAGAGAGGCAAGTTTTAAGTGTTCTCTGAAACGTAAGGTGGTTTTGATCCAATATGATAATAATGATAACTTAGATTTATAATGTGATCTGTTTAGAATTAGACAAGGCGTTGCAGATTGAACTGTTTTTTTAAAAGAAAAACCTAAGCCATGGCACAGTGGGGGGGGGGGGGGGGTTGAAGAGCATTCGATAATGTGAAATATATATAGATTAATAAGGATTGAATGCGTCAATTGAAACAGTCAAAAGGGATATAATTATTTTATGTAATAAGTTATCATATTATGTACATTTGACTTTCTCGTGTGTATGGTTTCAGCAACAAACCCTAGCCTAAAATGGACCCTACTGGTACATGTACCTGTTGTTATTTACATAACAATAGGTTGCTCATCGCAGTGCGAGCTGCCTTCCATAATAGTCACTTGACAGTTGAGCACAGCATAGTGAAGACGCAGGATATGTGCGGTACAGTCGACAGTTGAAGCTTTTACTAGGCATAGAAGAAAATATATCTTGTAAGTGTTATTTCTTTGTCATTAAAAACTAAAACGCGTAAGTGTTGACAAAGTTAAGTCAAGTGTTTATAACACGTCTTTATTATCTTATGTGTCAGAGCACGTTGGTTTAAAATAAATGTCACTATGCTTTGACAGAAAAGATAGGGTGCACGTAGCTGAGCGTTGAGTAAAACCTAAATTTGTTTGAAATCTTTAGCACTGTGAAAAAAACTCTGTATAAACATTTGTCTGAAAGAGAAATCATGTGTGTTTGAAATAATGTTTTATGATCGCAATTAGTATAGCGAATAAAGATTATAGTGATCGTTACGAGGTCCTTCTGCAAAGATAAGCGTGCCCCATGTGTAAAGACGTATTGAGTTTGCATTTATTCAATACTTCTATGTTTGTTTTAGATGAATGGCAGAAGGCGCAAGACATTTTCTGCTGTTGATGGACAAACCCTTTCAGATAAGTACTCTTTATATGTTTCAACACAAACTCGCGCGCTCACACACATTCACACCGTTCATACATACGCGAGCGCACACATATCTCAATGCACAATATTTAATGCAAGTTGTTATTTACCTCATGTTGTCCATAACATAGACAGCCTGAAAGAACCGGCAAATTTTGTTCCTTCTTGTGCTCTTAATTTGCTATTGTATATAAATGAAAATTGCAAATTAGTTTTTTTTAAGTCATTTAAATCAATGTGCTGTGCTGTGAAAGGAATTCGACAAAAGTGATCTGCAACAATTTATTCCCTGAACACGAAATCTGTAATTTTATTTCCCAAACACGTAATGCATAGCATTAATTATTTTCAGTTGTTGGTGCAATAGCTTTAAAGCCATCGTACATTATGCATTGATTTCATACCCTTAATTTGAAGCAAGCTCAACCCAAGCTTTTTTCAAGGACTTTCAGAATGTCCACAAAGATGTAAGAGATTTCAATTATATAAGTTTATTTTTTATATCTTGTATATGCAAGTTGTATATTATCCTGTCAATCATTCTATTCATAAGTTTAATCAAAACAATTTTTTGCATTTCAGAAGGACCACATTTTCCGATATACTGCACCAAGCGAACCTGCAAGAAACCCAGTTTTTCGTCTGATTCACATCATTCTCTTAAACTTGAATAAACACATTTCTCTGTGGTTTTTCATTTGATATGAAGTCATTATAAAGATAATGATAAGGGGAAGGATTAATCTGTTAGTCATATAAAATTAATCGAGCACTCTCAAAAATTTCTGTAAAATTTGATATATCAATATTGCCGTTTTTTTTCTATTTTGAAATCTTTTTCATTATTTTGTTAATTTCCCCAAAAAATACTTGTTGTGAAATAAATCCCATGTGGACAACAATTTTTAGCCTACAAAAAGAATATATACAAAATACTTACCAGATACCTACAAGTATTTTAATTAAAATTAAAACTGTATTTGCAATCGTACCTTGTTAAATTTTCCTTTTATTACTCCTTGTCAAACTTGCAATGTTCGGTTTTATGATTAATATTTAATAAAAAAATTAAACACCAAGACCCACCTGTCACCCCTAAAAAACGCAATGGACTCACCCCACCTGTCACCCCTCAAAAATGAAATGAACTCGCCCCACCTGTCACCCCTCAAAATGAAATGGACTCGCCCCACCTGTCACCCCTCAAAATGAAATGGACTCGCCCCACCTGTCACCCCTCGAATTCAAATGGACTCGCCCCACCTGACACCCCTCAAAATGAAATGGACTCGCCCCGCCTAAATGTCAATATAATGCATGATAAGCAGAATTTTAAATTGTTCAGTGTTAACGCCACTATTCAGGCAGTAAAATGCTCACTTTTTTCTTTTTGCAAATGTTTTAATTTCCTTTTCATAGTTTTGCTTTTAGAATTCAAACGCTATTTCACAGAATATATTCTAACACCCATAGAGCATGCAAACGAATATGAAAACGAATGGAGGAGACTATTTTAAGCAAAATTCATATCAAAGTTTGTTTTAAGAGAAATTTGAAAGAAAAACCAGCTTTGGCAGATTTTTATTTACTGTTTTCATTTGCTAAAATATTATTTCCGCACAAAATATTTTAGCACGGTTAATGAAATAGGCCTAGGCAAATCTGTAATGTTATACTTTATCTATCTAATAACAATTGGCAATTCAACAATTCAAGTAACAAGGCAATGGATCATATGAACAGTGATCTTAATGCACAGCCCAAATTGGGGCGAAACTATCATTTTACAATTTGCAAAGTTTACAAGAAAAAATTAAAATGTTTTGAATTAGTTCAAAGAATACAATTTGGATTGGATTATATTTTTAAAATTATATGAACCTAAAAACCATTTTTATTTCCGTCTCCGTATCCCTAGTTCAAACTGAAAACTAAAAATTGCATTTATTAGGGTGAGACGGTTCGTCAATTATAAATTTATAATTATATCATACATTATAAACATTTAGAATTAATAAATACAATTTTACAATTTCAATTATGATAAAATATCACGTGGCAGCTGATCGACTTAAATGAATTATCTTACTAAAGACTCGATCAACAATAAGGTGAAATAATACATCTTTACCCTCAAGTTTTGATAAATTGTAAAGACAATAAAAGGTAGCCGAACGAATTTCGAATGGAATCATAATTATCCGAGCCCGTTGTACGGTACATTCTGAAAATAAATTAGGCTTGATGTTAAAGGTACATTTCTTATGACATCAAAAGACCATCTTCAACTTTGAGAAGATCAACATAAAATCCTTAAATGTTTTTATTTTTAAATCACGCGCCTATTCCCATCGTAATGATTATACTGGTATGTGAACGTGCGCGCGTGTGCATGAGTGCCGTCCAGTTCCTTAATACGGGTTGAAGGCTTGACATGGATCTAGCACTCACATGTGCATTCTGCAGTCAGCAAATGCGATCGCAGGTCTGAAATATGAAAATATAATGTTATCAGTGAAATCCAATATTCCATGGTGATCAAATACATACCTTAAGACCGAAGCAACTTAAAATGAAAAAGACTGGTCACATTGAAAAAAATAGCGTTGGCTGAACATCAAATATATACAAAAAAATAATAATCATAAATAAATTTTAAAAAAGTTAGGGTAAAAACAAACATACGAGAGTTATATATATCTGAACAAATTTCAATAATTGCGTCTTACAGTTTAAAACGTTGGCCAGGAAAAGTTACAGGAAGAAACGTAAAAGTAAAAACCGACACCCTCATTCATCTGTTTTAGTTGCAAAATTGAAAAATGTAAAAAGATTCAGTAGATTTTAGTACAAACTAGTAAATAGTACAGACACCCAAAGTTTCATACAAGTACAATGAACAAATGTTGAAAAAATGTCTATGCTATGGCAGCGTGCTTTCAAGAATTTTTAAAATGGTCACCGTACAACTTATCGTACGTAAATCTAAAGAACCATCCAGCTATATGTATCATCCGTCATTTTAGAACATGGGAACAAGTTAGGACAGTACATGATACTTTGAACTCTCAAAAACTGAAACTACAGAGAAAAATGCCCCACATAACACCATGATCATTACCGACAGAAGACAATGAAAATATACTCAACAAAGCTGCCATTTTAGCATACCATACCCTAGGCAAGCATACTGAATCATGGAGTTGTGTACTTTAAACGTAACTTTCTCTCATTCTTAACGTCTTTAACAAAAGATTGTAAAAGAAATGCTACTTACAAGAAAGCTTTGTTTCAGTCCAGTGAAAGTTCGGCCTTGTGACTTTACCTAATTTATGCTGTCTTTATATGACTATAGTCATGTGACTATTCTGAAAACAGCTCACACCGTACCAGGTGACGTCACTAGACACTGCCACGTGACTTATTGTTATGTAAATTACTACAGGTGTGCCACATGAGGCTAGAAGAGTTGCTGCTGAGATCCATGTTACAATATATTGGCGAATATATTTATGTATGATCTGACAGATAAATTGATGAAAACAGACTTTTTGCCGAGTTCTAAAGTGATGCATATGACCGTTACATTCGTGAAAGGTATAACTTAAAATATCCATAATCAATATAAAGGTCCATTTAACATTAAAAAAATATTAAAAGTAAGCGAGCGGAAGAATTGTTTGTCCAAGACCAAGTGGAACTTTACTAACAGCAGTCTAGCAATTTAAATCATTAAAAAATAATTACAAGAATTATATGTTCTTACACTAAAAACGTAGACGGACTAAACTTAAACCTTAGTTACCCACCATCTCACATTTTCCCGGTGTCGCAGGGTTTTGAAAATTGAAAATTTTGGCGCGGGCCATTATTTTTAGTGGTTTGATGTTTTTGTAATATTTCACCCATTAATAAAATTTTCAATTCAGTTACACCCATGATTAGCTAGACGATATAGTGACAGGGCACAGTCAAACGTGCACCTCGTAAGACCCCTTTGGCACGGTCTAATTTTTGTTACTGTTAACAACGCGCGAATATTTTCCAAAAGGTTGTTATTTTTTAAACTTTTGTTACTAAAGCCGGCACTGAATACGAAAAATCCCCATACTAGCAAGGCACGAATTTCAAAATTTAGGAGGATTCGATTTTTTTCATCTTTTTTCTCTCATCTGAATTTTAAAGTACGTAATTTTGCAACAGTTCACATGGCAATAAATCACCTCATCAGTATGTCGTGTTGGTTGAATACCAAACGTCAGGACGAATGAGATTATAACATTTTACGAAACGACAGTAGATCTATCGTTTTATACATTTTATTATTAATTCATGGGAGGGGGTGGTAAAACCATTTTATAGAATCACAGTCAGCGCTACAAGAACGCGTCAACAGCTCAATTATTCAGTGCGACCTGGTGTGACAGGAATGGTACCCCTAGGAATGGAAGTCCGGGGTCTCATGTGATAAGTACAGGTTAGGGTTTGTCGTAGTACTGGGGCTATAATTTGGGACGAAGGTCACCTGTACAAAGTAATGGGGAACAACGGACTGCGGTTTCCATCGGACTGCCATTCCTGTCACACCGGGAGCGTGGTCACGTTCGACTGATCAAATTCAGTTAATTTATTTACATAATCTTAATGAACAATCGATTTTGATAATTACCATCGTTGCATTTAAAGGCTGCATGATGACGTAATTATTGCGTAATTCTTCAAGTCTTGGATCGACCAAGCAATTCGTGACTGTGGTTATTGATCCTAAGGCTTATGAACGCGGTATCCGATCCCTTCAATAACACTGAGTTTTTTGTACATATTACCACAGTAAACTGCGTTTCATGTGAAATTCCATCGAGTAGTGATCATTGACGTGTGAATAAAGCATCGTGCCCAATATATATAGTGCAAATAAACACAACCCTGGTTGCTATAAAGCCCAGTGCTGACACATATTGTTGTCAAACCCATTGAAAGGATTATACCAGAAGCCAGGTCACGCCCATACTAGCACCTTTATAATATATTGAAGCATGCAACTGACTCACGAAGACATACATGCACATGTATGAAGCTGACCGTTTCCAGTTATTGACAGCACAGTTTGATCTATGATTGATTAATTTGATATCTTATTGCAACCGTTATGAACGGGATGTATGGCCTTCTGCAGTGTGTATTACTGTGCGTGTTGAAGGTGGTGATGGTACTAGGAGAAGCGACAGGACAGACGGGAGGACCGACAGGACAAACAGGGTCTTCACTTCTTCCACCAGGTAGGAGACAGGACGATGTTCTTAAGTAAACACTTACTTTGGGGAAGCGTGTTTTGCAGAAGATTAAACAGGATTAACACGGTTGTGTGGATGTGGGATAGGGGTGAGGTACTGACACATGTTTACTTAACATGACTGCAGTCGGTCTCAGCAGAAGAAGATGCTTTCGCAATATTTTGTATTTTGCGGTATTTTGACACACCAAACTTTGTCAATACAAAATATTGTGTTTTGCTATATTGAAAGGTTGCCTCCACACTGATGGACCCATTAAATACGACAGTTTAAGTCGCTTGGGCCTAGAATTGATTTTTTTTCACTGATTAATAGACACTATAAGCCTTAACAATTCTATAACTGAAAACGACCTGTAATCCTGATAGTCCGAAAAATGGCACTTAAGTTTACTTTTATATATTTACTATTTAGTGCTACTAGTACCGTTGTATGTTTAGCATAGTACAGTTGTACATTACGACAAAAGCATATTGCACAAGACTTGCTGCGTCATTTGGAGTGACCCCTAATACAAGGTCAATAATTGTAACATGCAATGACGCTTGTCTCACCTGGCTGCCCCTGCTGTGTGACCAACATATAACGGGTGGCAGGTGCACGAGGTAGGGAAAGGAGGACGTGTTACAAACGAGAATTCCATAAATGGGTTCAAGTGCACACAACATCGTAAGGGCCGTTAAATAGCCAGTAAACACATAACGTTTCATAACGTTGCCATAATGTTTTTGGTCATATTTATAAACGTCATGGCAACGTTATAGAAACGTCCGTGTTTGCTGGGACCCTCGTTAATTTTTTTTAGTCCTACGCCTTCGATATAGGCCTACGAATGCATTGTACAGGGGTAGGCCTTATTGTTTTGACTCTATGTTTTAGTCACTGTTTTTCGCTTTTTTCTCAAAGGTACTCAAGTTGCCAAAAACTGTTCTACAATCCAAGATGGCATACTACTGTGGTTAGCTTGTCCTGTTGACCAAGCAATACAAGTTTTGAATGTACGATATCGACAGTCAATATCGACAGGTGGCTGTAGTCAGTTGGCTGACACTGTGGCATGCACTGACGTAGCCAACAACCTGCAAACACGTGCAGATTTGGCGAACGAGTGCGATTGGTTAGACATGTGCCAGGTGGAAATACATCCACAGCCATATGCCCAGTGTCTTTTGGAGGCGGCAATCACATTTAGATGTCTACCAGGTAATGATCCAATATTTTCTTTCAAAATATATATAGTAAGAAAGATTATTTAAAATGAATTTCCAATTTTGAAGTATGTTCTGTTCTTTGCTTTATCATACATGTATACATACACACATACATATACATGAACGCTATTATCATTCTAGGAAAACACTAAAAACACGTTTACTGATTACAATACATTTTTGAATATTTAATTAATGCAGTAAAAACATATGGAATATGAACGAATTCCTCAAGTTTCACATTTCTCTACCTCCAGTTCAATACATGTGTGACGGTGATGGATACAGAACGGAACCAAGGATCTACCTGGCCAGTATTGACTTCCCGTACCCACTGCCTAATGATGGGTCTACCTGTGTTTGTGAATTTAGGGGGGAAAGCAATGCAAATTATGTCACGGGAAATCTGTTATTCAGTAGTAGAACTCATGTATCGGAGTGTCAGCGTACCGGCGCAGAAGAGTCACATTTAGAAATATCTGGCTCGGCCTCACTGGGACCTGACTGCACCCGAGTCAACCAATACAACGTGACTACAAAGTTGATAACAGTGACATTGTATGGTGGAGGCAACCCAGACCCTTTCTTGTTTATATTTGAAGGTAAGTTACGATAAAGCTGTTAGCTATGTACACATACGGTTTTCATTCCTGTAAAGTGATTCAAGCAAAATGGTTTCACTCTGTGGATTTGAAATAAGATACTTTAGTTGTGAAATTTTCAACCAGTATTTACTTTGCACTCGAGTAGGTTTTTATATACATGACCAAGCGTACACCATATGAGTAAAAAAACACACACCTAATCTGCATCTACAACTGATCTTCTCCGGCAAAGGTTTAATGCAGTTATTTCGACATTGTCGAAAATGTGCAGTTATACCAGAATCTATTGTCATTCCAACAAATACTATACCAAATGTGTGGGACTCAGTTTTAATTTAATTTAACTTAAAAATTCTTACTGCTGGCTTTCGAATATCATCCATGGTTATTTTACAGTAAGGTTTTATGTAAAGTGTGTGTACATGTCTTGTCGTCTGATATGTTATTTTTTCTGTTCTAGCTGCTGACCCTGGATACTTGGTGTCAATCAGCTGTAACATGATAACAGTCAGTTCTACCACGAAATTACCGCCATCCAATCCACCGTCTACCACTACCTCAAATGGACAGAGTGGTTCAGGTTCAAATTCTGGTTCAGGTTCTGGTTCAAATTCTGGTTCGGGTGCGAATTCTGGTTCAGGTTCAGGTTCCGGGCAGCAGAATGGCACTGGACAATCAGATTCTCTTAATATTGGTAACTGTTCATGATGATTTTGCATGAGAGTTTTGTTTTAAAAGATAATATACCAAAATTAAATTATATTTGAAAAATCACTGTATTTTTACCGAAGTATTGCATTCATGGCATATTGCGGCATTAATTGCAGTACCAAATGAAAATAAGAGCAGGAGGATAAAACATAATTTTATAGCTTATGTTTTGTATTTCATTACGAGAAAAGGTCATTTCGGCGTTAAAATCTTGTTTTATTCCTGCTAACTCTCCGTAGTAACTGGAAATATTCATTTATATGTTTTAGGTATGATTGTTGGGATCGTTGCTGCTGCTGTGGTAGTTGTTGTTGTTGTGATTGCTGTAACTGTCATTCTGTTAAGGTAAATTCTAAGAGATGAATTAATAATCATTTTGAAAGTTGGATACTCAATCTTCATCATGATGTGTTTATTACTATTCCTGAAAATATTGTGTTGATTTTGTAAGATGCCACAATTTGTTAAAGTCAAATACGATTGATACTGTTACTGTACAAGATGCTGACTATTTGAATTTATTTTACAAGGAGAAACAGAGGGGCTCCCGAATCGCAATCTCGTCCAGCTCCCAACATGGCCACACACCCGTCATCTGAAAAACTAAAAATGAATAGCAGAGACAACAGTACCCGGAGCAGCAACGCTTACTCCCCGCCACCATTCACGCGGCAGAAAACCTCCGACACGCTTTATGAAGAGATTCCCTATGACAATCCAAGTTTTGAAGGGGAGGGCGCCAAAGCACCAGCACCGCCCCCCAGACCCATCTCCACAATGGCACCTACACCTGGAGTGTACGCTGGGGAGTACATAGATATGACAGCAGGGGAGAAGCAGCCCTCTGAAAATGCGTACATGGGTTTAGTTGGACCCCATTCAACTGCTGAATATTCTGGGGGTACAGGAAGTGAATACTATCTTACTCCAAATCCGTAGAGATCATTTGTATCGAAGAGAGGAGAAAATTGGACCAAAAGGACAGAAACATTTAGTGATTTTGTTAAAAGCGGAACTGGGCCGATTGTGATGTAGTCAGAAATGCATTTTGCATTTTTTTTCGGGAGGTGCGAGGGGGTGAATGGGAAAAATTTACAATTAAGCCCAGGAAACTTTTTGTTAATGTTCCCATGCTCGTAAGTCCCCAATCTGTGGATTGAGCATTTCCTCTAAGATAAAAAAAACCGAGCGTTCCTGAAATTTAGATGCTAAGCCCTATTAATATTAAACGTTATAAAAATTTGCACTGTAGACCCTGAACACAGAGTCGCCGCTCGTTACCCAACCTATCAATTTTGTCTGGTCAAGGGGTACATTTAGGGGGCATGCGCGTTTAGTGCAATTACCTTACACAAGAGTTGTTTTCTCAAATAAATATGCACTATAGGGCTACTGCATTCTTTTTGTTTCCGATTTGTTCGTGGTTGATATCTATCAGTGCTTCTGAGCAAGTTATAATAAAAGCAACACGTTTTTGTGATTTGAAATATAGAGAGATATCTGAAAAAAGCTTCGTAAATGAAAATTATATATATATATATATATATATATATATATATATATATATATATATATATATATATATATATATATATATATATATATATATATATGGAATTGAGGAGAGGCATAAACAGAAAATGAAGGTCAAATATTAACTGTAAGCAACTGGTTAGGGATCATATTTTGTGACCAAATTTAAGGTTGCACACTAGGCCACGACATCATTTTATTTAAAATGATAGACTGTAATAATGGTTTGCATGAATGCACACCGCCAGGACATGTTCTTGTACAGAAGAGCCTACACCAGTACCTCTACATTGCAGATGTACTGTGCAGCATATAGTCATTTGTGTGCAGCATATAGTCAGCACAGTCATTTGTGTGCAGCATATAGTCATTTGTGTTATTGTCCAAATAACACTAGTCTTTTAATAATTTCATTCATTTATTTACTATTCAGTAAAGGTTGACTCATAAAAATGACTTGTGAATACCAATGTTTACAATACCGATTTACTTTTTAAAATATCATATAACATATTTATTTCTTTTATTACATCATTGCATATTTATATTTCACAATTATTAACTGTACTGTAATATTTTGCCAGTATCCCCTTCAGCATTCCAGAGTATTCTAAATGTATGAAACTTCCTGCTTAGCTATCCGATTTACGGACCAGCTTACTAGTCCAATGGGTTTTTTTAAATTCATAAAAGACATTCTCTGACAGGTTACATAGTGGGAGAACTCTGTCTATATAATGACACATAAATATGCTATTGTGAGGAATCACAAATAAAAGTTCTTTGTACAGTCAACTCTCTTCTTCCTGTTTCATTTAGTCTTAAGCCAAGGTGTGAACTGTGAAACCTCTTTCATATCTGCTCCATTTATAAGTAACTACATGACAAACACAACAATACAGCATTATATCTGCAACACTAACCAACAACAACACAAAAATATTCATTTACTTACAATGAACCATTGGATATTATATAGATGACAAATATATCAAAATGCACCAATGGTTAAAAAGCTGCACAACCATAAAATGGCAATGTCACTATACAGACCAATGAGTCCCCCAGTGTTACATTAACCATATAGTTATATTCTCATTTACACGTTTATTTACAAAATTAATTATATCGAGTATCAAAATCCGTACAAAAATGTGGAATTTGTATATATCATAAAATAAATTAAAGAATTGTACAATTGGCAGGTTCTGCAATGCTAAAAGGCACTTAACTGTCATTTGGGTTTGATTAGATATTCTTTCAATAGTCGAGTAGNGGAAAAGGTCCACTCTGGGTAAAATTTGATCTAGGTACATGAAGTTTTTATGGAAAAAAGGTCCACTTTTTCAGAAAAAAATGCCCTTTTTGAAATTGCTGGCTACAGGCCTGAAGCGCTTATCAAAATACTGACTTTTTGATTCCCTTTTGGTATCTCCGGGAACTGATGTCGAAATTAATGACTCCCTTTTTTTTTGCAATAATGATGACCAAATAGTTATCGCATGCGACAGGAAATTTAAAACGTTGCAAGAGACTTCTCTCCCCTACGCGCTCCTTGTAATCTATTATTTATTAGTGCCAAAGAATGAAAACTGTGGAAAGAAAAATTGGCACGTGAGGTCTGATGATTTTCAGTTGATGACAGCAGCGCAGCACGTTTATGCTTATTTAATCTTATTCTATAGACTTACCTATACAAGATACAATTTCATTCGTCCTTACACTGCAGGTGACTTAATCCGTGTAGAGTATTTTTCTCCTAAGGGCAATGAAATGATATTGCTCGAACAGCGTGTTACTATAAGGTTTGGAGGTTAAAAACCTTTGGAAGGTTTCCGAAGTCATATTTATCTCCACCAAAGGAAGTTGTTTTCACCTCTGTTGTATGTTCGTCACCAGCCTTACACAAAATGTTATGGAGGGGTTTCCCATCTATTTTTATTTGAGGCTTGTTCAAGGTCTGACATTGTCAAACTATCTGATAGCTTACAAGCAATGGCATGGTCCTAACCCTCAGAGCAATTTCTTTTTCTGTTCAGTCTCTATACAGAGACGCATTTTAAAGTAGGATCTACAGTTTCTTTCATTTTAAAGACGACAAACATGTATTGAGTAAGTTCACTGATTTACCATTTTCTTTGTCTACCAGCCATATTTAAAGTTCAGTGGAGGGACATGACGCACCACCCCACCATTTCTTTTACAAAACAAAATAGTCGAGTAGCCAGAACGCTAACCCTGCAATGTTTTTTCCTGTAAACTTTTTTCGCTGAAATGCATTCCTTAGGTCGAGAGAAGCAAAATTAGCTTGGTTGCTATTTCCGAGACCTTGAGCATTTTTCAATATGGCCGTCAATTTATGAGAAAAAATAGAAAAACGAGCAGAAGTCGCCCGGTAAATTTTATTGACAGCTTTTTTGAACGTGTATCCTATCAGGATAGCACAACAGTACTAGTGAATACACTTAAGCCCGTTACATATAGCAAAAAAGCCAAAATGGCCGTCAAAACATATGGCAGAAAGTAAAAACAGCTGCAAAATAAGTTCGTTTTTTGCAAAGTAAGTCTTATTAAAAACATTTCCGCCGTTTCTATTTATGTCCATTATGATAATTTGTTAGTCATGATCCTAAACTCTCAGAAACTGCTTATTTGACATTAATCAGACGGTGCCATCTCCTGAGAGTCCATTTGCCACTCCGACGAGCCCCATAGTCAAAGCTTGCTATGTTATATCTTGCAAGCTTTTTTAAAAGAAATTGTTTCATCTGGGTTACAAAACTTAGAGAAGCTTATACGCTTGACTTTATTTGCCAATTGATACGTAGGAGATATTGACAATTTTTCAAAATTCAAGATGGCCGTCAATTTGTTATGTGAATAGCGAGAGCCATACATTCAAATAAAAAAATATATATATAATGCTTCACTCCATTGTTCATCATTGCATATTTATATTTATATCCATGCAAAGTGCGATTATTTATTTCATTTTTGCAAGTTATTTTAATAAAAATGGCCTCCAAAACATAATGGAAGGGCAAAGAAACAACTGTAAAACTACAAGGCTTTTAACTGAAATAGACTTTAACTGGAACAAATATAAATACATATATTAAGTGAAAAACGATATACCTGCGTTCAAGACACAGCACACAATAAAACATGTTTTTAGGTTAAATGATACAAACAAGGAAAACCAATATGTCCGTCAATGCTGCTCTATGATCAATCTAAACTTTGATTGCGGATATCTCAGTCCTGACAACTAGTTTTCCATTCTTAATCAAAAATTAATGAAAGGTATTATCATTCTAGTATGTGTAAACTAAATCATTTTGAAATAAAAAAGGCGTCAAATCGTTTTCTTCAGGTTGGATTATTCTTATCCTTTTCTTGTAAACTTTTTAAATATTTCAACAGTTATGGGTAAAGGTATTTTTGTTGTTTAACAATGAATTTTGTTATAAATAACCGAGATCCAAGCACGGGTATACAAACCCAGAGGTTAGGGCCCATGAAGTCAGCTATTTGGACAACGTGACATAGAACTGGATATGCAAGGGTTATCCATCGACATCATGTATTTGAAATGTTGTTTTTGCCAATATATACTTACAGATAATGGAAGCTTTGAGATAGTAATGTATGCATTTTTTCTACTTGTAGGGTAGATGTAATTATCCATTGTGCATTTATTGATGACTTAGTGCTTGGGTAGTTAAGATAATGATGAGTTGTCATGTTGCCATGGTTCATTGCTCATGGGTAAGCTTTTTTTTGCAAAAATGGACCAAATACACATTGAGCAATACTCAGTGGGCATCTGCACATTTTGAGGATTGGTTTTGGAGGCCTGTAAAGGCCCAAAAAAGGTCACCCATGTTGTTAGTCCAGTGAACGGAATCATGCCATGTCTATCATGTGAACAACGTAGGCCTACATCTCTGGGCACTGGGTGTGAGAGGAGTCTGATTTGAGCTATAATGTATGGACTGTTCCCACCCCACAATCAGGAACCTGGTTGAATGCCATAACATGCCAGGCTCTGTTAGCGATATACCGCAGCCAGGGCGAGAGAGTGTCAACTCCAGACCAGGATCGCTACACCAGGTTGCATCAGCTACGGGAGCAGTTTCGCCATGTCAGTCGTACAGCACAAGAAGCACCCGGCAGGAACAACAACCGGAGCAGCAGCTCCACTGTGCGTCGACGCTTGCTGGCGGTCAACCGATGGTGGTCGTTGATGGCAACATACCAGTAACTGCTCGTCACTACATAGATCAGATCCTGCAACCTCACATAACCTCGTTAATGCAGGAGAAAACTGATATTACCTTTTCCCAACAGGACATGACCCGTTCACATTCGGGGTAGGGCATCCCAAGGGTGGATGTCCTACCCCGGCCTGTCTATTTTCCGGATATGAATCCGATTGAACACTTGTGGTACTACATATATCTTGGCCGTCCTTTGGCCAAGGCAGCAGCTGATCGAGACACTACGACAAGGCTGGAATAGGATTCCACACGACACCATCCCATCCACATTTATTGCCCGAGCATGCGCCAACAGATCGCTGCCTGCATCGAAGCAAGCGGAGATCGTACCGGCTACTGACCGTTGTGACTTTGTGTTGGGCTGGGGCCATTTTTGTTTTGAAACTATTCATGAAACTTAAGATTTTTGGTTCTGTATACCAATGCCCTAAACAAATGATTCATATGAAAATAATCCAGTTTAGAGCTTCAGAATAACAATTATGGCCTCAAAGATTTTAATGGCTGTCAGTATATAACCAAAAGATTTGTAGGATGTTTTGCTTATTGACTCTTAAAATGCAAAGTTAAAAAAGTGCACTAATAAGAAAAACCAGAAATGCTGTTATAGACTGATGAAATATTCTTACACGTGCCAACCTCAATAAAAAGAATGGGAAGTTTTAAAGCTAAATTTCATGTACATACTGAAAAAGTTATG